ATTATGTGCTGCTTCGCGAGAAGATAGTCCATTTTGGCTCTGTTGGATTTTCTATATATTTTGTTCGGTGGTGCAAAAATCTTTTGCTTCCCTTTTTCCTTTTCTCTTTCGGGTGACCCTTTTGTTGCGGACGACGGCACGAAACCCGGAATAATATAAGACAAGGATGGGGGAGAAGAAAGCATGAAGATCGAAGATCGAATATCGAAAATTGAAGGGAGAAGAAAGGAAATGACAAGAAACTGGCAGCTGCCGCTTGGCCAACTGTTGGAAAGTTTTTCATTTTCTTTTTTACGAATATGTCCCGATTTTGTTTTTCTTTTCCCATTGCTTGTTGTTCTTTTCGCTTTTCTCGATTCCTTTCCTATAATAATGGCAAGATGTGTCCTATTTCCTCCTGCCTGGCCTCTCTTTTGTGTGTTTCTATATGCGTGAGAGCCTCTGAATTCTGAATCTAAAGTTCTGTTTGTTGTCTTATTTCTCTGATCGTCGCCGCCCCCTGGTGTTTTTGTTGCTGCTGTTCTTGCTGTTACTGCTTTTTCTGTTTCTGGTTTTCCCTTGTTGTGTAAATTTACTATATCCTACCTAGATGACTGCTTTTTTTTTTATTTACTTTTTCGCTCTCCGCCTCTTCCGCAAACGATGTAGCTAATTGGCTGATATGATTGGAATGAATTGAAGGCATTTACTTTTCGAATGGCTGTAGCCTGTGGCCTGTAGCCTGTAGCCTTGCACTGCGTCTGTATATTATGGAGTCCACCACAGTTCGGGATCGTTGGGCAATCAGTCGTGTCACGTGCACTCGGCTCCCTTTCCCCTGCCCGATGCATCAGCGTCATTCCTCATCCCATCCCCGTCTGAGAATCCTCCCAAGCCTCACTCCCCATCCGCCAACCTTTGCACAACGCCGTTACGCTACACTCTAACTGCTTGTCCGTCAGCCCTCGTTCCGCTCCCTTTTGGCCCCTTTTTGTTCTGGCCCCCTCAACAGTACCTAAAGAAATCTATCGTATCACGGCACACCAACACCACTGTCTGTGTACTGTACATACACACGCACATCCAGCCCCCGCCTCGCGTCTCAACGATAGTGTAAACAACCCCGAGCACAGTTCCACTTGGCTTCTCTTCTCCGTAGTTTGTGCCCTGCTCTATCTCCCTTGGATCTCCTTGCTTGGACCATAAACCGTCGCCTGCCTGCGGAAACTCTCCGTCGATCGAAAGCCTCGCCCTCTCCCTCCCCCCTCCTCCTCTGCACGTCGATTTACCTGGTACGGACCTTCCTGCCGTCTTCCTGCCTTCGAATACAGAATACATCTTTTTCTTCGTCTCCTGTCCAGACCAAGCCAGGAAGAGACACGACCTAGTACTGGTTCTGCGTGGGGTCTCAGTTGGACTGGGAAGCTTCCGGACTTGGTGACGGTTACACCTTTCTTGCGTCTTGGGCTCTCTCTTTTTTTTGCTTTAAATTTTTTTTTTTTTTCCTTTTGGTTCTTTTACGTTCACGGCGCAAAGTAAAAGTTATCAGGAGGACAAATAGAAGGTTGCTTTGTGCGGGAATGCAAGGGTAGGAAGGGGAAATTATAAGAACAGAAGAGACGAGAGAAGAGTGATTCTGGGGCATAACAAGCTTGGCACTTGTCATTATCTGGTATCCTTGCATATATTTGCACATTTGCACATATACGCTTTTTATTTCGGTGGTTGAGCCGAGGGGCGTTCCTTTTTCACGATGTTGAAGATATTGTCTATGGTAGGTCAAACTTTATTCCGAGGTTGTTAATTAATGGTTATCAACTTCGCCCTTTCTCTCCGCCTAATAGCACCTCGTATATTTTAATATAGATGCCGAATACACAGGCAATCAGCTGACTCTGAGCTGCAGAAAAAGAAGCAACAAGCGGAGGCTGCTGCTGCTGGGCAGACCAAGAATAGGGTCGGAGGTGCGAAAGCACGGATTCAACATGGTACGTTCCGCAAGCATCGCATCCCTCTTGTGATAAAATGCGAAACACTTTTCCAATGGCATGGGCTAACTGTCAGCTTCGTCCTTCTCACCTTTCACAGATCTGCTCCGGGTCGGGAAACAGGAGGAGGAGGAGAGCCGTACGGGTGCACGCCCCATTAAATTCGAGTGGAAGAACGGCGATGATCCGTTTCATTTTAGTGTGGTGATCGAACCGGACGAGGGGATGTACAAGGGTGGCTCGTTCAAGTTCAATTTTGACATTCCCGAACACGACTACCCGTTTGAGCCGCCCAGAGTAAAATGCACCCAGCGGATATACCACCCGAATATCGACCCGCAAGGAAATGTGTGTCTGAACATACTGCGTGATGGGTGGACAGCCGCGTTGGATGTCCAGGCCGTTGCATTTGGCTTACTGGTGCGTTAATCCTCTCAGAAAGGAGAGAAAAGGGAAAGAAAGAAAGAAAGAAAGAAAGAAAACCTGGTGCATAGAACTAACGCCAGCATGCCAAAACGAAACAGCACATATTCATCCACACCACGTACGAAGACCCCTTAATCCAAGAAGTCGCTGACGACCTTCGGCTGAACCGTGAGGGCTTCCGACGCAACGTTCGGACAGCCATGCAGGGGGGGACGGTGCGGAATACACAATACGATCGTGTCTTGAAGAGCTGAGATGGGACGAAGGGAGGTGATATACTATACAATGCCATGGATGTAGTAGTGGTGGTGGTGGTGGTGGTGATTGCGGTGGGAAAAAGTAGGAGACGAGAGAGCGAGACGAGGACGGGACGAGGGTGGGCGGTACTTAAGGTAGTCAGGTAGCTGGAAAGGAAACAAATGCCAATATAATGCATAACTGTTGATAGAGACAATAAATCATTCACGAGCGACGGAACAGTGAACGGGAATGGGAACGGCCCTAGAAGAGAAGAGGGATGAAATAATGACATTTTAAGATGTGCAGCATTGCTCTTTCTTTTGTCTGTTCGTCCCACGGATTTTATTTTATTACCATTATTATTATCCACTTATCTACAGCACACTTTATTTTTTTCATAGGAAGGGAAGTAATGTTCCCTTCTGCGTCTCTGTGTTACGCAGTAACCGAGGAGTATTGATTGAATCCAAAACATCATCTGCAGTATGTGAAACACACAAAGCATTTAATATATCTATATATATATATTTCATTATTTATTATGTGTTCCCCGACCGATGGGCACCCTCAAACATGCGCAAGTTTATATAATTACATATACTCCGAGAATGAGGTGCGAGGCATGCCCTGGGACAATGAACATTATAAGCGCAGATTCATGCACCATGGCTAGGTTCTGTAGCAGAAGCGACCCTCCCCCACAAAGAAGCCAAGGGCTTCAATCCAGCGGATGGAATGTAGGCTGGAGGAGTGTAGAATGAATTGACATTGTCCCCCGTCGCGGATGGGACGTGTATCTATCGCTTTGCAGTCAAGATGCTTTCTAAAAGATGTTCCTGGCCACATTCTGTTGCATATGTTTCATTTTGAGGGACCTAGGCTGGAGGGAATATATTCCGGGCAGCATCAGGTAGAGTATGCGCTTGTGTTGGCTCGTTTCGTTATGACAGAGTGGAGATCCTTCGCGCTTTGCAGGATCGACAAGGAAATCACAGAGACAGAGATTTAGCGGTCTGAGGAGGAGGAGGAGGAGGAGGCGGCGGGGTGGGTTGGGTTGGGTTACTAGTGACATAACAGGACGGAGCGAAGTGTTTCGATCTCCAGTCCACTTCCGTCCTTTCAAGCCCCAGGGATATTTTCCAGGGGTTTTGTGGATAGAGGGTTCGGCTAGGGTTAAAATTGAACCAGCGACTTCGTTGAACCCGTAATATCCTGTTTCTCATCTGCGTTGAGGTTGAGGCTGGTATGTAACCGGTCCGGTTCAGAAAGATAAACTTTGTTAAGTTTGAATGTCTATGAAGCCGTTTGAAATTTAGTACGAGCTCCAGGAATCTCAGATCCTAGACAAATTGACACATGGTGGCTGCAAATATGAAGAGTGGTAGAGCTATTGTCCACGAGGATGTCAAGCTGGTCTTAACGAGGCCAATATGGAGGTGGCAAGGGGCTGCGAGTACTGAGAATTGGTATTGGATTGTTCCTGACTTGCGATACTTGGTGCTTCAGAAATCGATATATATTCACGTCTGGTTGCAGAACGTCGGATATCGTGCAATATCATGTCCCCAATAGACGTCTCCTGCAATCCTCCAAAGACCTAGTGTAATTGGCAATTCCGGCCTGCTTTGTTAGGAAGATTCGCAAGTTTATCGACTGAACAGTCGTCGTCCCGGGAAGATGGTGAAGGATGGCTCGCCTATGAATCAACCAACACTCGAGTAACAATGTTGGCACCTGCACTAACTTCTTCAATGGTGAGGCATAATCCTTGTCGCCCTTAAAGATTGCAATAGTGCCATAGCCACAAACAATGGAACGCAATAACGAAAATACGGGATTGCTTCCTCCATAAGTGAGGGAGGTCGAACAGATCCCTTGTTGGCCTGCTCCATCCGTCGCCGTCAACCGAGAAGGGGACAATGCTCTCGGAGGTATTGAAGCCATGCCATCATCTGGCTGGGAATTTTATCTTAGTTGAATAGCTGCTGGCGTCATTGACGAGCAGAGTGGATATATTGATATAGCAGCTTGGTAGAGGCCTGTGGTAGGGAAGTATGGAGTATAGGTAGTATCAACGAGGTTCGCTGATATACTCCGTACTCGACTTATGATTGGTGGATATATCCTTGGAATCCTATTGGCTAACTAGGTCGTAATTGGCTTAGTCAGCGCTGACTAACTTATCTCCCAAGCCCCAGTTAGGAAAAGGAGGAATTGAGGCACCGAAGAAGGAGGGTCGAAAATCGCAGCTTGACGTTGTCGATTCATTCCCAACGCCTGGAGGCTGCAGTCTATGTCTCTCCAGCCGGCCATCAAGTGTTTTCGATATCTCCTCCTTCTGACGGGCCAGACGCCAATGCCTTAACAATGAAGTTCTTCGAAAGCACCTTCAACTACGATTACTCTTTTCCCGCTGTCTCACTTGCCTACTTCCTCCGTTATCCGAACCCTTACTCCCGCCATGTCCTGACCACCGATGTCATCGATCGCTATGTCGACCCTGTCACAGAGCGCTTGCATACCACCAGGCTGCTTCTTAAAAAATCCAAGATCCCCTCGGCCATGCTGAAGTTACTACCCAAGGGAATTGGCGGCAGCGAGAACTCAGGCCAGAGCTTCATCCTCGAGACCACCGTTGTAGACGTGAAAGAAGGCTGGATGCATACAGAATCTCGTAATATGGAATGGACGGGCATCCTCAGCGTCGTGGAAAAGCAACTATATCGACGCCTCCCTCCTTCCTCGGACAACAGTAATCCCAAACCACGGACATGGTGGTCAGGCTCGTCCATTGACGAACCTAAAGACGAGAGGACAAGCGTGAAAACCACAGTTACGTTTCGGTCAAGTCTGGGGCAAGCGGTGCTCAATCGCTCCAAGAAGTTCGATGCTTCATCAGCGGGCGAACACGGCGACGACGAGTCTCACAGCAAACGAAGCCTTCTCGCATCATGGTCCACGGCCGGAATCCAGCGCACAATTGAGCTCGTGGGCGTGAAGCGAACGCGAGATGCTGTTCTGAAGAGCAAACAAGGAATGAACGTGGTTTTGGAGCGGTTAAGGAATGGCGGAATCGTCGGAGTCCTCGAAGGGATGCAACAGGATCGTGAAGCGGGACATGAAGGGCCGTGGAAACGTGTTTGGATGCATGGCGCTCACGGTCACCACCACGAACATCCCCATTCTCACAGCCATGCTGATGACGATGCTTAAAGTTCCGGCTTCTCTGGGGGAATCGATAACTTCGACCTCCTACAATCCACGACAACGAGTGCTCAATTGCTGTTCAATCGCGCCGCGGTTTCAACGCAATCTGAAAAGTTTTTTCTTCTTCAATTACAAACTAGCATGGTGTTCTGGCGTTGCGGTTCTGGATTTCAAACATCTCCTGTTCCTTTGCTCACGGAGGCAATTTTTGCTCTACTTGCGCCTTTTGCAAAGAAGTTCTTTCTCTTCTCTTCTTTTCCTTTTTTTCTGCCTGTATTTATTATCATTGCTTCTTTTCTGATGGCTGAGCAAAGAGTGGGTGACGAAACGGAAGAAATGACCTGTTCCTGACCTGTACATTATTCAACCCATCAGAGTAGATATGGCATATGGCATGGGTGTGTGGAGGCAACGGTGGCGTCGAAGGAGCGCGAAAACTTGCCCGTCCTCTCGTCAACTCATTCACTTCATATATTTGCTTATCTTGTCCTTATCTATTATTGCTTCTTTTTCAGCCGGCTTGACATGAAATACTGGATATATATATCTGCTGCTTTGCTACATTGGGAGCTGAGAATATTCGCTGGACTGGTAGCTTCTATTTGGTTTCCAAGCCATCAATTGTGCTCCAGGCGCATATCTGCTGCGACCTAAAAGATGAAGATCGGCTATTTGGACATCTTACGGAAAATATGAATAGTTAGCGTAGCTCTCCGCCATGCTGTGCGTTGCTCTCAAGTGTCTCCGTCTGCAGCTAAATTTGGGTGACGGTGCGGCTCTCCCCGCCTAAACATTCCCCTCCAAACTTTGTCGACATCAACTGTCACCACCACACCTTCTCGAGGCCTGTGATCATATCTCATGCCAGAGCCCGTACCCGACAATGCCAATGGCTTAATTCGACGCTCACGGATACAGAAAGCCAGAGAACTCCGGCTAATCATAATCCCCAAAGTATTCTGTCGTCATTGATTGCGGCAGCCCTATCCGACACCTCCTCCACAATATAAAAAAAAATTTATCCAACAATAATCCAGCCGTCCTTAATCGCCTCATCATGGCGGCAACCCTCGATGAGGAAGACCTCTCCGCATCCCTCCCTTCCCATGAACACGATAACACATCCTCGCACAAGAACCGCGGCCATCCCGCTATACCTCCAAAACGATCCCGCCCGGATTACAATGACCAATCCCCCGACACCGCAAGGGACATGCAGCGACTGGACCAGTACACCACCGTTAAGATACTAGGTGAAGGTTCGTTTGGCAAAGTCAAGCTGGCGGTGCACCAGGCGAGCGGGAGGCAGGTGGCCCTGAAAATCATACCGAGACGGAAATTATTGTCGAGGGATATGGTGGGGAGGGTTGATCGGGAGATACAATATCTACAGTTCTTACGGCATCCACATATCATAAAGCTGTACGTCCAGAGTTATTTTGGTTTTAACTCGTTCTTTTTCTCAGATCGGATGGCCCGTTTTGATATTTCCTCTGCCGTAACGATGTTGTGTTATTTCACTGACCTAATTAATTTGTCGTGGGGAGACAGATACACTGTGATTGCAACGAAGACCGATATTGTCATGGTGCTCGAGTATGCAGAAAAGGAGCTTTTCGACTACTTGGTAAAGCGTGGGAGGTGTAGCGATGAAGAAGCACGCAAGTTTTTTCAACAGATAATTTGCGCAGTCGAATATTGCCACCGTCACAAGATCGTCCATCGAGATCTGAAGCCAGAGAACCTGCTCATTGACAAAGAAAGAAACGTCAAGATCGCTGATTTCGGCCTTAGCAATATCATGACCGACGGCAACTTTTTGAAGACGAGCTGTGGGAGCCCCAACTATGCAGCGCCGGAAGTCATCTCGGGGAAGCTGTATGCAGGACCGGAGGTGGATGTATGGAGCTGTGGCGTGATCCTCTATGTGCTACTAGTTGGCAAGCTTCCATTCGACGACGATTATATTCCTGCTCTATTTAAAAAGATTGCCGCGGGGAACTTCCATATGCCCTCTTACATATCGACCGGTGCTGCCCGTTTGATACGAGCTATGCTACAAGTCCATCCTGTTCAAAGAATCACCATCCCAGAGATCCGTCAGGACCCTTGGTTTCTTAAGAACCTTCCGAAATATCTCCAACCCCCAGCGGAGGAGTGGGTCAGCTCAGGAGCAAATCCTAACAGAGCCATTGATCCCCGCAGGATCGCTCCGGGCCGACCGTTCGCAGTACAAGAGAAAATTCAACAGACGGCAATCACCAAGCTCGAGAAGAGAATGGGTGTCGATAGAGAAGACATTAGCGACGCGTTGAAGAAACCGGAACCAAGTGCGATCAAAGACGCATTTTTTATCGTGGTGGAAAACGAAATGATGCAGACGAATTGTAGGTCCTTATACTTGTGATCTCAATTCCCATGACGCCTTTTCACAAGAATGTTCAAACTGACTTGGCTGCAGCCCCTACAGATGCCAGCGAATCGCCAACCACTCCACCTGTCTCCCCAGAATCCTCAGCTTCTCCTGCTGCTGGGAGCGGGTCCACCCGTAACGCCAAAAATGTGAACACCGCGCCTCAATCGTCCCATCGAGGGCAAGTCCCAACACCGTCCACCCCACTATCTGCGCCATCGCTAGCACCAGCGTTCACGATTCCAGAGGTCGAAGAGGAGCGCGTCAGCCACGTACGCATTCTACCTACGAGTTTGCCATACGTTCATAATCAAATAATGGACCAACGGGAGAGGGAGAGACATGCTCCCTCCCAAGACCAGTCAATGGAGGAATCGCGTGGGCGATCGCAATACCAGGACATTACTGAAGCCGAGACAGACAGCCACAAGGAGAGATCTCCGGAAGAGCAAGCTGCGACTGCAAGGTCACTCAAGCCCCATTCACGCAGTCTTGTCGATTTGAAGAAGCTTAGCTTGGAACCGCCGGAAGGTCTCGAGAAAATGTCTTCGCCACCAAAGAGATCGCGCAAGTGGCAGTTTGGCATACGGTCACGCAATCAGCCATATGAAGCTATGCTGTGCTTGTATAAAGCTATTCGAGCCCAAGGTGGCGTTTGGGAAATCCAACCCGCCGAATCTGGTAAGATTTATTTGTTTGTTTATTTCTATACTTGCTTTCTATAACGCCATTTTAATTTTGATGAAAATGACCCCTAGCTAATACAACCTCTTGCTGTACTACAACAGACAACGACCCAGCGGCAACCCCTCAAATGTCATCAGAATTACCAAAACCTTTACAACACAAATACCCCAACCTTCCATCAGACTACTACATACCCAAAGACCTCTGGTTCATCAGAGCCCGGCTGCTTAAAAAAGATGTCCTCGCGCCCGGCCCATCAAGCAGTAGCCATTCCAGCCGCAGTGATCTAGAGGAATACCGCCGACGAATTAGCTTAATAACAGACCCAGAAGAGAAAGCAGCTGCCACTGCTGCCCTGAGCAGGAGTAATTCGGTAGATAATCCACACCTTACAAGTGCTGCTCCCACAACTTCCAGTGGCACAGGTAGTGGCAACGGCAGCGGCACAGGTCTAACAAGCTCTACGCTAGCCCTGGGATCTTCTTCTTCGCTACTTCAGCACCCTGGTGCCATCGTACACGGCGTCTGGGTGTTCATCGACATTCAACTATACCAACTGGAAGAAAACAATTTCATGGTCGATTTCAAATGCGATGGTTACCAGAACGTGATCCGCGTTGAGAACGAGGGTGGAAGTGGCAGTAGTGGTGACCCTGCTGCTGCCGCTGAGTGGCGGCCGGTCAGCAAGCGGATCCGAAACAAGGAGAAAGAAGCCACTAGCCCCTTTCCTTTCTTGGACGTTGCGTCGGATTTGGTTGCACAATTGGCCGTTGCGAATTAGTCATTGGATCTTCTCCTTGTCCATCTCTCAAAACTCTTCCTTTTTGACCTAACTGCCTCCGCTTATCATTCGTTATTGTCCTCGTGACGTTTGTGCATTGGGGGTTTTCTCAAACTCATGTCCATAAGTATGATGATGTTGATGATGTTGATGATGATGATGACGATGCTGTTGATTTTCGATTTTCAATTTTTTCGATACCATTTGCTATTTTATTATTGCTCCGCATTGATGTGACATACGGACACGGGTCCGAGGGAAAAGGAAAGGAAACCAACAGAGGATAACCCGGGGGAGGGGGGGGGGGGGGGGAATGGAATTTCGTTTGCGATCAATTCGGCAGAGTGTCACATATATCGACTCTTCGCCAGGCCAGCTCCATTCTACATTCGTCCAAAATAAGCATTATTTTCCTTACCATTATTCCCCTTTTGGAGCTTATCGACTACAAGTTACGCCTCCCTATTCCTATCGGAGGATGCATACCAGACAACGATAGAAAACATACGTTACCTAGTGCGTGGCATTAACGTATTATCAAAAGAGATGAAAGGTCAGACTTTACTCTCCTGATCCCGCCGGCATTGCCGCTACTTCTCCTGGTTCAGGGATTACAATGGTATTTGCTAGCTACATGAACACTGGAAGTTGAATGATATGTATGTGATAAACATTCCTCACGCTTCAGATCATCCATTTCCACAACAGAAGAACAACAATCACACCAAAAAGGAAGAAAGAAAGAATAGAAAGAAAGAAAAAGAAGCCGAATGACAATAGGACAGAATGATGAGAAATCCTAAGATCGTCATCCTTAGTCGTATGCCTACTGGGGAAAATCCATGTATCTCACTCTAATCTTATTCTGTCCTTGAAAGAGGCCATGAATTCGAGGGAGGGAGGCTTGGGTTTTTGTCGGGGCTATGACGAATAGTTAATCTTCTCTCTGATGGTTCCACGGCTGTTGATTTCGTGCTCGTTTGCTTTGTTGATACTGATTTCTGAGACCCGAATTTCCGAACCCTCTTCACAATTTGATATTTGGTGCTCAGTAACACTGACTGGCTTCTTCATAGGTCCGATTTAGGTGCTACATAGCTGGAATTTGGTACCAGATATTTTGATGAGCTATCTTCTGAGGGTTTCAGGAGGGGTTCAATATAAATCTACATGCATACATACGTACATACATACATACGTACATACATACATACATACATACATACATACATACATATATATATATATGTATATACGGATTCCCCCTTTCTATACTTTTCCCTTTTCAGGAAAGGAGATCTGCATAGCTGGTTGGTTCAATATTAAATGATTGTGTTTGTTTGGAAGTTTTGTCAGTTCGCGGGCGACCTGAGAACTTGGGATTCCCCAGCTTATCGGACTTGCTCTGCAGGGTTTAGCGGCGGCCTGAGTAGGTTTAGCATAATATCATTACTTTGTTGAGTATATAAAAGCGCCTACTTCAGCTGCTCCCCGTCATCTCTATTCTCTCATTGATGTTTTATCATTGTCTCATCGCATGTGTGCTGACACAACACCTTCACTTTGACTCTCATAAATTGTCACACAGATTGACTGTGCTGTATCTGAACCATTCTCAACTCTGCTGCTGAATTCCACTTCTCTTCTTCAAATTTGAAGTGGCTGAGTTTTACTGAGATAAGTCATTTCTGCACTTCTGGCATTGCTGGATTTTTGGATTTTGAATCCTCTGCATTCTTTGCAATTCAGCAAATCCACTCCCATCCCAGCTCCAGAAAGTACAAAGTGAAAAGTATAAACATGAAAGTATAAGACTTAAAACTTAAAAGCAAAAGTCATTTCGTTCGCGGTACAGATGCTGGCAGCGCTGATCTGCTGGCGACATTGTCCCCTGGTGTTGTCCTGATGCTGGTGGTTGCTGAGGCATACGCGCATCATGTTCTGAAGCTTCCAGGAAGAGCTATGACATTCCCGTGCAAATTCGGTTTCAAATTGGCGTGAGAGTAGTCCTTCGTCTATCTTTCTCTCATATACTAAACTATCTAGGCCTGTTGAACACCATGTTTTACAAATATCCGCCAACACGGAAACGGCGACTGAGTGAGCAAGGGATTGGATCAACGTCGAAGAGGGGAGCTGGATGAGGCCTCTCACCAATGATTCCGCTCTGGATCGCTTTGATATCAGGCTGACAGCACGGTATTGTGATCTACTTGTTTGTATTGGTTTGAGATAGAATTACGAATAAGCTATTGATCATTTCCTGGTTGGATGTTTTTCAAAGAGACGTCTATAGTAATGGTGCATGTTGATACTAATTGAATTGAATTCTTGTAGATTCTCACCGCCATTCTCCTGACTTCGTTTGCTTGGTCTTTAACCATAGCAGAGACCTGGAAGGGATACTGGAAGAATCATCTATGCTTTCTCTCAGCAATCTGTTTCGCCGGCACATATGGTCGTCGCTCTGGGGGTTTATCTCCAATTTCATTAGGAGCATCAATCTATCCCAATACCTCAGCGGGACAGCAAGGCCAATCCTTGACGACGATGTTGAACCTGGACGTACAGAAGCGCAATTCCACCATGTCAGTGAGCTAATAATGCTACAACTACCTCCTACTGATTTGATTATATAGAATGCCAAATCGCCCGAAGATTCAAGCCACCTCGTTGCCGACCGCCCAACCGTCGAATAGTCTGGTAACGAGATAATCTTGCACGTGAAGCACCCACCGAAATGTATATCGATTGGTTTTTCCGGAATCATCTGCGAAATCGACGAAGATACCATTGTGAAACACCCAAAGGTCATTCCGAATAATGATCTATACAATCAGATGTACCGCGATATGATCATTAACGAAAGACTGATCTACGAGCGCCTGGGAAGTCATAAAGGGATTATTTCCTACTTGGGCGTCCACGACCAATTAACCGGTGCGATAAGATTGGCATATGTAAAGGAAGGGGATCTGGAATGTTATATTCAAAGCCATGACAAGCCATCTGAAGCAGTTCGCGCCACCTGGATTTGATTGCTAGTAGAGACTTTCTGGTATATCTATTCTCAAAAAATCCACCATCAAGATGTCAAGCCCAACAATATACTTGTTGAGAATGGCACTTTGAAGATTTGTTGATTTTGTCAACGCCACAATGCATGCATTGGATGCTGATATGGAAGAGATCTGCATGAAAGATCCATTGTCATGAGTTGATAAACTTGGTCTTGGATGTATTATTTATTCTATTGCAGCATGGCGGGTCTTCTACTATGATTATTTTGAACATGACTGCTGACCAGAGCCAGAAAATCTCCCGGCAACAAGCAGTCTACTTTACGTGGATATCATCAACAAATGCTGGATAGATGGCTATGGTACTATAAAATCACTGTATGAAGACTGCAATGCTTTTTCTGGCATGGAGTGATGACCTGAGAGGGGAGAATAAATCAATGTTGTCCAGCATTTGTTGAGGGTTTGCTGGCTGCAGATTGTTTACATCATGTAGGAATAAGATACTTCTGATACACTTTCATCTTCTCAATGGGTCGGCTCAGCTCTTACCTAAAGACAGAGTTCATTTTAACTCCCAATCACCGAACAAAAACGTCTTCTACTGTCATTCCAATCCATAAACGTTGTCAGAAAGTTTTCTAGGCTACAAGGCTATATCTCGCGAGACACCATAACAGATCACTAATACGCTTCCTGAGCTATTATCCTTCTAATTTCGGCCGTCGTGTCTGCCCAGCCAAGGTCTCATTTCAGGCACCAAAAGCTAGGTGTAATTGCCACGAGCCTAACGCGCAAGATAGACTTACAAACTAGGCACCCACAGTAGCACCTTAGGCTTGAGCAACGGATGCAGAGCTCGAGCCTCCAGCTCCTGTTCCATCACCATCCATTCATCCAGTAGGAGGCTTTTTGTTGCAGCAATTGGGGCAGACGTTTCATTTTGCGTAACCACGGCTTAAAGCCTCGGTAGTCGGTTCTGGGTTTGGACAGGGTGAACCTCTCTCAGTCGCGGGATCACACCAGTGGAGAATGGCGTTTCCTTCAGGCGCTGTGTGCCCACAGCCCCAAGTGTATGTATTTGGCGTCTCTTTCTTGCAAATTTTCGCTGAGCTGTACGTGGCCTATATTGGCGCGTGAGTAGTTATGCATGTGCATCTAGAGATATACCGTGTGTAAGAGCCTGAATGGAAATGAGTCTTCATACAAGAGAATGGGTACAGTTGAAGATGGTTCAATCTTGAGTATTGCCTCGAGCTACCACCAGGCAGCATCCGAATGTGCACGGTGTGTGGATAGATGACTTAGTGCTGTGAACCTGGAAAGGGTAGCCATATGGAGCAATCCATTAGGGTTCTCATGCCTTCATCTATGATTTGTGACTGAAGTCTCTGGTCTTGCATTGTGATGACTATGCATGTGTGTATGTGCTGTCACCTTCCCCGATCTTACAGCTTTTTGGATTGCATTGCATGCGTATCTACCCTGTATATAGAGGCAGCAAATTCTCCTTGGTAATTGACTGGAATGTCAACCCTGCATGCCGTACAATTAAGTTAATCATGTGATTCCAGAACCCTAACCTGGGAACTTGTATTCTCGATCCCAGCTTCCCTTTGGTTCCGAGCTTTGCGAATGGCAAACAAGACGTCACTTTTAACGAAGGCTCGTGGTAAAAGTCTATATCTCGCAGGGAGCTCCCGAATCCATGGATGGCAAGCCTGTGAAAGGCGAAATTGCTGGCCCCTTTGGCACGACTGCTGGAAGGACATGGGGAGAACATGGCACTAAACAGGTTTCTTGCGTTTTTGCTTTTCTTCCATTTTGGCGTTTTGACACTTTGCTAACCTGGGCAATTGACACAGACTAATATATGAGGTGAGGGGTGACCGAGCCAATGCTTTCCATTTTGGCTCTCCCTGGGAGAAGTTAATTACCATTCTTTTGATAAAGCGGATAGTGGCATGCTTGAATTGAATGTAAGGCTCGGGCACTACAGCTGGGTTGAAATAGATGACCACGTCTCAACAGACTATACAAATGACAGCCCTGCTTTTTGACAGCTGTGAATCCAAGCCCAGCTTCTATCTTGTAGACGAATGGGACCAGCATCAAAAAGGCGGCAAGTCGGATCTAGCCGAAAAAGATCCATTGAGAAAGCATGAAAACACCAAAAGTCAAAAACAGCCTTAACCTCCTCTCTTCGCCGTGAATGCTCAAAAGAAAGTTATATGACGTAGATCATTTGATCAACCGTCATATGGGTTGCCGCCAGTCCGAACGGCACCCTTCTGCATATTTCTCACCCTGCTCTACTTCTTCCCTCTTTCAATCCGATTCCGAAAGAGTCGAATTAGATAGACGCGCCATTCATCTCAAGCAGCTGCGCTATCTGTGTCCCCCATATATTGACCGTCAGTGCAATACTCAGCAATCACGTTGCTCTATCACATCTCATACATCTGGGCCATTTAGCTACTATAGTTAAGCGCTTGCACAACATACCGCCAACATGGGATTGAGATCGGTTAATTTGGCCCTTCGGGTCCCCCAGGTATGTAATCTCAAGCGTTCCGCCGCGCAACCAGTGATTTCAGTACTTTAAAAACCACGAAGAGGAGGGGAGAGATAAGATAAAAAGATGCGACATGAGAACTAATACGGATTCACGTCGCCCACATGTATATAGTTTATCTTTACCGTGATTATCATGGCGCTTGTCGGCAACATGGTAGCAGACGCATTTCACGGCAGCGCGTCGACAGTGAACTACATCCTTTTCGTGTCAGCATTTTCGATGTTATCACTCTTCTACCTATTTGCTGCGGGGGTCAGCGAGGCCTGCCTCATTCATCCTGGCTTCATGTTCCTTGTCGATCTACTGAATACCATATTTATTTTCTGCGGTGCAATTGCTATGCCGGCGAAGCTACGTGTGCATTCATGCACTAACATGGTAAGTGCAAAAGCAATCGAAGTTGAAGCAGCTAGTTCAGGTTCAGGGGAAAAGAGAGGAAGAGAGAAGAGAAGTTTGAAAGGCGCTGACATGTGTTTTTGGTGCAGGTGTACACCGTAACGAACTCGATAACCAGAGGCTCCCTGACGCCGGAAAAACGCTGCCGTGAAGCACAGGCAGTTACAGCCTTCCTTTGGTTTTTGTGGGTTCTGTTTCTGATATCGACGATCTTGTCAGGGCTTAGTATGCGTGGGACGCTGGCTGAAATGCATGGCCCGCGTCCTGGCCGGCGTTCCCGTCCGTCAATGTCCCAGGTGTAAAAGTCGCGAGGTCTGATGTCGGGGAAAGGGAGATTACGGGGCGGCTTGATATATGTATGTCATATCAAAGTTTGAATTTCTCAAAAATACCGACGAGATGTTTTCTGACTTGACCAATGACGAAGACCGAGAAACTTGGACGAGGAGACGTTGTGGCTAGGGTGCAAAGCGTCTCACCGAGCTGTGCTGTCGTTTATCCGCTGACCAGGCATTTGGCGCAATCTTTACAAAAATGACAATGGAAGCGCAGAAATGAGGAATTCCTTGGTTCTATTACTTCAGGTTTATAGTCGATGTACTTTAAGAGCTGACGCAGCATCACTCTCAACCCAACAAAAAATCCCCGATGACGATCTTGCTTTCAATTTTTTTGCCTGTATGTGTGAAGGTCGCTTTTGTTATTGGCATCCGTTTGCCATCGTGTATCTGCGTATCTGTCTATATCCGTACTGTTCATATAAGAAATCACATTGATGTTCTATCAGTGGGAGGAAGTGTGGTAATGTGTGTATATATTTGTCTGTGGCACGATTGATGGCCCTGTACAAGCAAAAACAGTGCTCTGGTGAATTGCACTTCTCCGGCCTCAACAAATTCCAAGTGACTTTGAAGCATCATTATTTACGAATCCTGATTGTTGCTTGAGGGAAAGCAGTGAAGATCAAAGATTTTTGTGAACATTGCAAAAATTCTAGAGCAAACCAACTCTGCTTCGGCTTCAAGACACAAATCGTCTTATCTCAGCTACTTTACTCCGTACAGTCGCTGGGCATCCCGTCGACAGCGGCAGCGTTCGTTTCACCTTTACCCTTTATTGTTTAACACAAAGTCAGTGCACACATCTTGTGGCTTTGTTGAGTGAGGAATTTCATTTCCACCCCCGTGGTGGCTATCAGCCAGGTTCCTCAACGAATATGTAACAGTGAAGCCCATCGATCAAATCATCAGGCCCATCTGCCACAAGTTTTAAGGTAAGTTAACTAACTAACTAGTTAGTTAGTTAACAAGATAAGCTTGCTAAATATTACGCAGCGTAGTTATAACATAGCTGATCATTTCATCGGTGCATGGATAACTACTGCTCCAGCCAACCTCGTCATATGCCACGTTCTATGAACAGACTCTTTCTTCATGCATGCAACGCTGAACTCGCTACTCACGGCACATAGATATCGGGATGGCTTTTGAGTCGTAAAAGGCAGGGGCAACAAGAACAATATCGAGGCTTTGTCCTCCACTCGGAATTTTTCGTGATGTTAGCATCCAACAGCCAGCAGACCCGCTGTTTCTGCTGGGATGCGATACGACAAAAAAAAAAAAAAAAAAAAAAAAAAAAAAAAAAAAAAAACTACAAAAGCTGCGATTGTGCCAGTTGCAAAAGTGAGGGAAGAATCCCAGCGTTTCTTGACCCAAAAGGATCCGAGAAAACATTCAGGGGGCAGGCGTGCTGGATCTTTTAAGGAGTGAGATGGAGCTTGTTGACCAGGGACTGTCTAAATATAGGCAGATGTCAGATTATCAATAATCATCTCTCGGCAAGTTCTAATAATAATCCCTTTTCCCTGCTGAAAGGCTGCAAGCATCACGACTCCACCCCTGGCCACACTAATCGCAGCCAGCGTATGAGCTGAGACGCACCACGGGCCAAGAGCCAACTACAGCAACTAGTCATGCTTGACTCTCAAGTTTCGCGAAGGCTCCGCAGCGTCTGCTAGCCAATGATGGCTCGGTTTGGAGATGAAGGAAGGCGGTGCGGCCTCGGCGGGCGTTCTTCCTTGCACTTCCTCGTATATAATCAAACAATATCGTGCTGGTCCTCTCCTGGGATGTTCCTTTTTAGCATTTGGAACCCCCAGTCTAACTCTCCACAACGTTGATTTCATACGTGGACAGATCTCTTCTTTTTTTTTTTTTTGTTTCTGTTATTATTCTTCTCTCATTTCCCTTTTTCTTCCGGGAAAGAGGAGCCCTTCATTGAGACTTTCAGTTCATCAAATTTTTATATCCCCTCTGTACTTATATATTTATACGGAAGCTCCGTGAAAGATGAAGACCACGGGCATTCTGCTCGCCTCGTGCGCAGCCGTTGCGTCGGCAAGATTGTTCCAGATCGAAGTGAATACGGCCCCAGACAAGCAAGCCAGTCTCGTCGCCCAACTGGATCAACTTCAGCGAACACACCGTAAGTCAAAAATTCCAGGGGAACTGCAACTGCGCACCGGGCCAAATTTGATGAATAGATTTGCAATCTATCCGCATCTCTACATCTATTCCTGCACATCTACATATATATTATGATACAGATTCTAACATGAACAAACCAGGCTCCGTAACTAGCGGAATTGGGGCTTCCGTCGACCAGCCGGGTGCCTATTGTCAAGCGTACTCGGACCCCCACGGCCGTGATGAGCTAGGAGAGCCCTTCTGGAGGGGCCAGGCTGCTGTTTTCACAAAGGATGATAAACCTGTACCCATAGGCTCGTTTCTGTGCAAGGACACCGTCGAGGGGTTGAGGGACGACGGCGACGACTATGACGATGACGATGACGATGACGATGACGATGACGACGGTGATAAGAACAAGGGAGGTGACCTGGACGATCATCTGAAGGGGGACGCTGGGAAGGGTGACGGGGATGGGGATGGGGATGGGGATGGGGATGATGATGGAGACGATGACGGGGACGACGATGGCGATGACGATGGCGATGATGATTATGATGATGATGAGGATGACGATGATCTCCAGGATGGTGATGGCGGGAACGAGAGAATTGATTTGAAGGACGACGATTTGGACGACGACGACGATGATGATGATTTCGATCCGTGGAAGGACGGGCAAGACTAGAAGGCAAGTGTATAATCCCGCACCGGCATTGACGAGTTTGTGCAGTACATACGAGCAGAAGTTCAACTGGGGGAAACGTGCGCCAACAAGTGCGCTCCACCCCCAGCCAAACCAATAATCAGCATGCTCATCTCAAAAAACAAGAAAGAGAAAGAAAGATCAATCGGCTAACAAATCCCAACGCCCCAACAGAAGATGTGAAGCTCGGTTCTAAAGTCTTGAATGCCGAGGGCAAGAAGAAACTAGATACCCCCTTCTCCTGCATGGACATTTCTCTAGGCAAAGAGGCCGTGTCGGCGATGGCAATCAAGTGCGGTGTCAAGAGGTAGACGTAATATGTTCGCAAGTTCTGGAGAGAAAGGAGCCCCCTGAAGCTAGGATAAGATAAACGGAGTTTCGCTTTTCTCTTCTTTTATATTTATATATACATGTATATTGCTTCTGGTTGTTATTCCAATTATATTTGTATGCATTTTTTTTTTTTTTTTTTTTTTTTTTTGTAAGGCCGCGCAGGATTCCACTATCTTTGCTCTTCTTTGGTATTTGGTTTGTATTTCAGCCTCTTTCTGTTATTCTTCTCTATAGAGATACCACACCCTATCATCCGTGTACTATTTACCATTTCCATTATATTTCCACATTTCCCATACAATAATGCTTTTTTTGTGGTGGATCTTGTTGGGAAGTATTGCTGGTTTTGCGCGGCGAGTACAGAGTAGATAGTTCCATCCCAGTTGCATGTTATTCAAAGCTATACATTTTCTTGCTGCATACCAAGTTCCTTGAAAAAGGTAGAATGACAAAGGGGCCGGATTGGGCGGTTCAGAGTTCATTATTGTTCACGAGAAACCCCCTGGGATGAATACGGGGTAGCAGTGAGGAGAACCATCCTGAGGGGCCTCCGCTCCGTATTTGGTGGAGACTGTCCCTTGAACTCGCGCAGGACACGATCCATACTGTGTATATTTGAGGAAGCCAAGGGCGGGGCCGGAAGGGCAAGGGCCCCGTCGAAAGAACGCCCGCTGAACCACATACTGTATATTCAATCCAGTTGTAGCAGTAGTTGAAAGAGATGTTTGTCTGCGAAACCGGCGATATACATGATGATCAGCCACGGTCATCCTGCAGCTTGGCCAAGGTGCGCAGTCATGATAACCGGCTAACTACCCCACAACATTCTGCAGTGCGAGAAAGCGAGCCAACCAGTTGAGTTGAGCATTTTGATTGCTTGGTGTCGGTGCTGTTTTGTGTACTGGCGGAAAATGACGGTCAGCAAGGGTAGCTCGGAATGCGAAAGCGCTCCCTCTCCTCCATGCCTCTGTTCTGTTAAGCATATGCATGCACACTACATGCATCGTTGCATCGTTTGATCGTTTGCCATATAACTCTCAGCCACGGAGAGAAGCAATGTTGTCAAACACTATTAAACCTCGTCTATTAGGTGAACTGAGGTAGGCAGGACATCTTGGTTATGGCGGCGGCTGTTGGATATCCATCCATCTGCACCGAGGCGTAAGGATAAGAAATGCATCCAACCAGGCTGCAAGAACATATTTTCCTGTGTAGCTCTTAACAAACGAGAGCGGCGGCAATTGCAATAGCATGCGTAAATGCAACTTACCTTCTAACCCTCCTCAGCATTTCCTCCTGGGCATCACCCTCACCCTTGCCAAGATGGAAAAGGCCTGACGGATACGCTTTGAGCAACAAGAGCGCTTTTTTGCGCTCTGTCCCTTAGGCCTTCTTCGGTATCACCCAATAATTTCATCATCATCTGTTGTAACTTTCGAGGTTGGTGGATAACAAGATGTCCCACAAACTATAAGCAAGGCAAAACTACATGGCGATTGTTCTCCAAAGCAAAGAGATAGAGAACAAACCAGGAGGAAATATGATAATTTTTTGGTACTCTCGAGAGCGAGGAAGTAAGAACAAAAACAAACGATATAGATACTGAAAAGCCATGAATATCGTGTTCGTCCGGTGCTGGTCCGTCTGTGCCGAAGCGATGATAACGAAGTCCACCAGCGGCCAAATATCAACAATCTTGCGGAGGCTGTCCCTTGCAAAACGAAACCCTAGCAGATATATGTTCAGGCCATGTCCATGTACTGTACTTACTGCACATGCTTCACTCACTCTGTCCATTCGTAACGCTGAATCCCTCGGGCGTTTGGCACTTCCCCTTTCAGCCATTCCCCAATTATGCTATTTTACGCGGACGAACAAAAGACTCTGCATCTCACCACCAGCTCTCAACCAGCCACAAACGAGCCCATCCCTGGATAAGGGGCCACCGCCCGCTACAGAGACTCACTCGGGAGTTTCTGCTAACGCCAGCAGCAAAACCATGTCTCGGCATATTCACAACGCCGTAGATTTCAAGAGGGGATCGTGAGCTGTGGAGGAAGAAGCAGAGGGGTTAGTACTGGTATGATAGAAACAAGCATTGAATGGCTCTGGCTCGTGGACTATGCCCAAGATCGAAACGGTGATGGTTGGAATATATGAGTGCTAGTAACTGTATTGTATCCTGCACTCTCATGCACCGCACATCCAAACCAGCCACAGGCTCCACCGACGTACCGTCCCATCCCCGTGCATGGAACTGGCTTCACCGTCAGAACTGAAGATGATTTCCTCCATACGTCTGACCAGCGTACTCCGTAACTTCTGAGAACGAAGGAAGCCCTTAAAGTCTACAGAATCCTCCGTACAGGGAACTAACTTGTCAGGCCTGAGTCATCCCCGAATGCGACGGGCTCTGATTGGCCGGGATTGGCCGGGAAGTCGACCTGCACCGTCACTTGGCTGCTTATGTAAACAGCGGGCACCGCAACAGGTTTAGCGCAGTCCTCGGCCAGCGCAAGCATGGTCGGGCAGCAGCCAATCGGAGGCGGCGCTGACACCTCCGAATCGGGCCTCCCGAGCCCTAATCTGCCTTGGTCCATACGGTAATCCATACAAGCGCCCATACAGCGCCCATACAAGCGCCCATACATCCTCCATGCTCTGTCCATGTATGGAGTCTGTATTGTGTTGGATGTCTTCACTCCCTCAGCCTCCCCAGCGGTGCTAAAGAACTCGAATTCCTCTCCTCGTATCTCCCTCTCCCTTTTCTTCTTCTTTCTTTCTCTCTCTTTGCTTCCTTTTGTTTCGCCTGGAAGAACACAGTAATACCCTCCCGTCTACAACAACGAGGTAGAGACGTGCAACTCATTGGAGAAAGAGTTAGCTTCTTCCTAAAACCCATATTCTCGGCCGCCGTTGCGGATAACTAGACGTTATCTATAGATCCATTGCTCAGACATTATATACTTCCCTTCAAAACCTCAAAAAGCCCTGTTTCTAGTATCTCCTAGAGCAGAGTATATTTGGTTACCCTTTTTAAGAACCCCTTCCCTCATTTCTTTCTGCATCATGTCCACCTCCTTTCATTACCAATCCACTTGTGTCGAGGAGGACTCTGCATATCTGGACCTCACTCTGCCCAATGTCGTTGCCGATGACTTCTCCTTCGCGCCCCAATCGAATACCTACCCCGCGGCCAATTGCGGGCCGATAGACCTCTCCAAACTGGATGAGAGCATCTCCTTTGATAATGTACTGTGGGACCATTTCAACCTAGACTTGTTGGGCTTTGCTACCGAATCTTCCATCCATCCATCCACTTCGCCGTTAAACGACATCTGGTCCACCGACTTCAATTCCCTCCCTGACCCATCCTCCATCTGTTTTGATACCCCCCAAATGGGCTATGCTTCACCCGCCTTTTTCTCTGCAGAAGCAGATACCATTTCTACTGACCGCACTCTCCCTTCACCCGATTCGGATGACTCCATCCAACGCCTGAACTGGGTTAGATCCACACTGAAAGGACCTTGCCTTGGCCAGAGCAGCCAAGGATACACGACCTGTATCACAAAAGACGAAGCAGATGGATGCTTCAATTGAATTGTATCTGCAGCTTCAAAACGATCTTCGCTCTGGATTCCAGGAAGAATGCGCACCCGCTGCCCAAAGCAGGGTCTGGCAACCTAGCTCAACCACCATAAGCGACTCGTCATTCGACAACAATTCGTTCTCCCTTACCGGATCGCCGGGCTCATCAACGGGCACTGTCCCGGAACTCTCCCCCGCGTCTATCACAAGAGTCGGATCAGCATCCGCTGGCCCCTCTAGGCCTACGCCGCTGCCTGCATCCGGTGGGGTTCAAATGGTCCTGGACATGAACCTGAACGAGACCACATCGCTGCCGAAGAAAGCATCGCCCAAAGACCCAGGAGGAGCGGCAGCGGTATATCACTGTGCGAAGACAGGGCGCCTGCGAATGGCACCGCAAGCAACGCAAGAGGGTGTGTTTCGTTCCTTTTGACTCAAATAATTATCCCCTTCAGAGTGAATATCCTGGCTAACGCCCAATTTTTAGTGCACATGTGTCGATAAGACGAACTCCGCCCTCACAACTGCCAAACGGAAGAAGCTAATGAAGCATGTTCAAACTTCCCAGCAACATTGTTCAAGTGCTGTCACACCGGTTTCGGCCGGCGATCGATGGCGCAGAACCAGTGTCCGTCCATGTTCTGGGCCGCTGCAATCCTCGCCTACGCCACAAGTGTGTGTCATTCCCAAATCCACTTGGCGATGCGACGGAGGCCTGTCATGCACTGATCCCGAATGCCCCGAATGTTGTGGTAATGAGGAACCAATTGCCCAACGTCTTCAAGTTGTGGTACAATCCAGTCTTGACTGCCAACGCCACAGACCATATATCAATCGCGGGACATTGGATTTGATAGAGTGGCAACCATGGGGAGAACCATCAGACGAGCACCGGAGATATACTCTTCTGCCTCCTGTGCGAGAGTCGCTGGAACCAGCGTCTCAGACTCAACGCGCGATCCGATCTCGTTTGCAGACGACAACTGGTGTGCCTGGGTCCGTCAGGGCTGCTCAGGATCTGGATATTCATACCATCGCAGGTCCTGGACGAGCGTACTCATCTCGAGATCCACAGTTCTCTCGAGACAATCTGGGAGATAGGCCAACTTGCCCGCATCCGACGAATATCAAAATTACATCTACCCATGCTAGCATTAGGGATAGTCGGCCGAACTCGCATCTCTTGGTACGACGCAGCGACAAGCTGGGTATAGATGTTGGCGCCATCTCCACTGATGGACAGAGGCGCACTAGAAGTCCGCACACCCAAATTGACAATCAACCGTGGGAGCCCACGACTAGAGCAGTGTTAGAAATCATGGTTCGCCTAATGTCGGGGACGATATTGCGACTTGCTACATGTCCTTCATCTATATTCTCGCGATCATCAGCCTCATGGAAACCTTCTGCTTCATCTGGAAAATGGGAGATACAACACGCCATTCGCAACAGAAAACCCTCTCATTCGGAAGCGGGGGAACCGAGCACAGCAGCCATAACATGCCTCCTGATGATCTTGGGATTCTCATTTGTCTCACCAACCCTCTCAATCGTTGCCTCCATCTTCTTATATCGTGCCACCAGATGTTCCCCGTCGTCAAGTAATCTGGCCCACGCCAGGCAAATCATCAGTCATAAACCCCCTACCGTTCCTGATCACCGCATAGCAAGAACGCATTGCGCAGTGAAATGACAACGATACCATACCCTACACTGATGCAGCCGAATCCGCTATGCTATGCGTGCGTTCACATAGCGTGGTTGTGGTTGTAAGTAAAGTGTTCGACACCAACCGTCACCCCCAACATTTTCATTCTTTACTTCTCTTACTTTTTATACTTTCCTCGCCACCCTTTCCTATGGCGCCCTCACAGGGGCACGGGCTGCTGGTATTAGATATTTTGACATTTACCGCCTTCTTTTTTGTATTCTATGTACATAAATAACCCGACTACATCCTCCATGCTCGGTAGTTCACAGCAAAGATGGATAAAATATCATATTTTCTGATCGGATAGGATTCTGTTTCTCCCATTTCCTTGGGGTTTCCTTTCCCTAGGGCCACAGTAGGCATTCAACAGGAGTACAGGAGTAAAAGATCAACTGGCAGTTGTCGAAGGTACTACTCTCAGGCCTAACTCCCCAAACGAAAGTTCAATAGCAACTACCAGGTAACCTGTGTAAAACAAGAACTACCACCACAAGTCCCTTGAAACACAATTGCAGAAAGATGTCTGATCTGCTATGTATTCCCCATAGTTCACTCAATATGCGAGCAGAGCAATCTGTCCTATGTCGGTGCTTCCATCTTCAGCAAGACAACTGAGCTCCTCTCGATCACGGAGGATTTGATCTATTGTTTTTGCCATGCCAGTTGCATGTAGGATCCTTGCAACGGCCGCATGAGTGCTAAGGAGAACGCGGCTGGGGAGCTCATAGTCAGCGTGCTTTGTGAATTTCACAACACGCTCGTTGTTCTCATCGGGCTCGGGAAGCAAACGCATCATATACGGGCGGTAATGATATAACCGAAGGTAATAGGTGTTCTCCTCATCCTAGACGACCAACTGTCAGGTTGTCCGACAAACATGGCTAGCCTGGTAGGGTACATACCGCTGGTTCTAAAGCGATCTGGAATTTGCCAAATGCTGCATGGATTGGACCTAGCAGTGCCATCAGGTTTTCGTAGTCATTGACTGTCACTGCAGAACAATTGGTACGAAAGTGGACATCGGGGAAACAAGTATATATCGCCGCCCAAGCTTTCGCTTTTTGAGTTTCCTGTGATTAAATTAGACATATGTATATATGGCATAGGAGCAGGCAACACCAACTTCAGCATTGCTTCGAAACTTCCCAAGCGCAAAGGGAATGATGTGGGCGAGCTCAGTGTCTGCAGCGGATTCGAGGAAGTCATCCTGTGCATTTTTAGCCGCATACTCGTAGTCGTACGCTCCAGTCACAAGGCAACGGTAGCCGTCCCGCGCCAAGCACTGCTTCTTAAGCTTGCCCTGGGAATTTCTATCACTGGACCGAGTCATTTGAGATGACACGACATTAACAAGATCCTCAGCATCGGGAAGAGGAGAAGGAGACACATATGGAGTAGTTCGTGCTCTCACTAACAGAAAATGTCAATAAGAAAAAACTGACATGGAAGTGACTCGCAGCTTTAACTGAGAATCTTACAAGAGAGAAGAATTACCGATTTCAAATGCTGAGAGAGAGTAAAAAGGATCTCATCGTCTTCGCAAGTTGCGATAAATGGTATCAAGTTTTGCTTGCCTCCTTGAGGTAGATTATCAAGAAAAGTAGTGAGGATACTGCTGGTATTATCATTTAGGGACTGTGGTTCATACGCTGATATCTTCATTCTAGCTGTATCTTCCTCGAGTTGTGAAACTGGGGGTGGAGGCGATAAAGATCGACTAGCGGCGTTGAAAAAAGAGTCCACGACATCCTCTGCAGACTCCTGGGTAGACGCCATGGTGCTGAATAGGTGGTTGATATCAGAACAGACGCCTTGGTTATAGGAGTTGTTGTGTTGGTTTGTTCTGGTCAATTGATGAACATTGATAGGGAAGTCGACAGGGAATGCTCAACACTATGCCTGAATAAACTAGTATGGACCGCCACTAAACCGCAGTGGACAACGCTAGGCCTGAAGCAGCGGCCGGTAATTATTACAGCCAATCATATACTGGCGTTGCTCAAGCCTCAAATTGTCCCGATTGGGCAATTTCATACCTAGGTACTCCGTACCTTGCCAGGTGTGGGCAGACAACATATCACCTGTGAATCCACTTCGTGTCCGCATGTCTTCTTATTGCTCTTGAACGAAACATAGCGCTGTTAAATCCCAACATTTGGCTTGGTGCCGGCTCCCCAGATGGAGAGCATATCCATATACGCAGCGTAGAAGCTTCCTTCAATAACTTACGAGAGCAATCCACGGCTCTGACAACCTCGAGTTCCTCGACTCCATCTCAACCAACACGGGCCCGCAAGCTCAGGCGAAGAGAGCCATTACTCTGACTGTGGTTATGGCTAAGCTGATAGCCTTTACCACCACTTATGATACGTTTTCTGGAGGCTTTCTGGCGGCAATCCGGCAGAGAACAACGCGGAGAAAGGCTCAAGAGGACATTGGAGAGTTGCTGTCACATTGAAATTGTAATGTGAGTTATGACACTATAGATTACATTTATGGTTTGAGGGTGTCTCTGCGTTCCAAAACAGTCAGAAACATCGTCTCTGGATATGCCAGACTTCTATCGCAATTGCTTCTCAAGCATGCATACCTGGCACAAACTGACTATTTAGTCATCCCTAGCCCCGTTCTTCTCGCCGTGACTGTTGTCGTCGCCCTTATCGCCAGCATGGCTGAATCCCTTTCCCTCTCGCATTTCGAATATTTCACTGTAACCGGATACTTCCTCCAAGATGATCCCGCAACGGACCCCGAAGATTTCGACTATGTGTGTTCCCTATCTACTCTAGAACAAAATGCAGAAAGAAGAGGGCCATCTACTAATCAAAACGTAGTCATCAAGCGCATTCGGCCTCATAAACCAAAAGTACGATACAGATGACGACTTCGACCCGAACCGAGAGAGGACCCAGTGGGAGCGTTTCGCCTACAAACTGCGATCTCTAAATACCCACGCTGACGAGTATACGGAATTCAAGTTGTTCTACATGGGTCGGCATGGTGAAGGGTTTCATAACGTTGCAGAAGCACTTTACGGAACTGAGGCATGGGATGTATGTACATTGCATTCGCTATTAATAAACTCATTCCTCGTCCCGCACTTCAACTAATCACCCTCGTAGTGTTACTGGTCCAAACTTGACGGCAACGGGAACATCACATGGGCCGATGCACATCTGACGGAAACAGGCATCTCTCAGGCCCTACGCGCGCGCTCCACATGGGCCACGCAGATGAAAAACCACATACCCCTTCCACAATCATACTACAGTAGTCCCCTCGATCGATGCCTACAAACGTCAAAGTTAACATTTGGCGACCTAGACCTTCCGTCAGATCGACCATACAAGCCGGTCGTGAAAGAGGTATGCACAGTGTCTCTCACCACTGCCTAGAGGATATGACCAGGATAGATAAGAAAGAGGGGAGAGCACAAAGGCTAACCACACGCGCCCCGCCCCTTGCACAGCTCCTCCGCGAAACCCTAGGGGTCCACACGTGCGACCGCCGCTCTCCAGCAGCGTACATAGCAAAGACCTACCCCAACTACACCCTCGAGGCCGGATTCGCCCCTATTGACCCCCTCTGGGACCCAGACCTGCGCGAATCTGACTCCGCACGCACGACCCGCCTGCGGCGGCTTGTCGACGATATAGTCGAGCGAGATAGCGGCGCGAGCATGTATATATCGCTGACGGCGCATTCTGGGGCGATCACATCGTTACTGGAGGTTATGGGGCATCGGAAGTTTAGGTTGGAGACGGGGGGCGTGATTCCGGTGCTTGTACGGATTGTGAGGAGGAGAGGGGCAGCGGAAGGCGGTCGTGGGGTGGTTGAACCACCGCAGAAAGTGCTGGAGTGTGGAGAGGGTTTGGTCGATGGGCAGGATGGTAGAAGAGCGGATTTGAGGAATTGAGACTTTTCGGAACGTTTTATTTCTTATGTTCACTGTATTTCTTATTTCATTTTTATTGTATTTTTTAAGTTTTAGTTTTACTTCTTTTCTTGGGGGCGACAGTGATTGCTTGCTTGCTTAAGTGTATATGCCGCGATATGGGATGGGATGGCTTGGTGTGTGGAGTTTTTAATGACTTTAGATACCCCCTGGCGCATCGTTTGTGATCGTTTCCCAGTCTCTCTCCTGAAAGAAAAACGAAGTGCGTTTGTTTGTTATGTGTAGAGTGTAGACCGAAGCGAAGATAAATTGATTGAGATTATATATTTGCGGCACAGGATTATATTATGCACCTTTAATTGGGGGGTGGGTTTGCTTCAAGAAACACAGGGTATTTATTTTCCTTATATAGAAATAACCGTGAAATGACGGAGAGGTTACGAACGTAAAATTACAGAATATCCGGTGTCCCAGCCCCTATTCGGTCTCTCCCCAGACAGCAAGAAGCGCAAATAAGAAAAAAAGCCCCAGGGGGAGGGGGGGGGGAGAGCAAACGGGGCCGGTTCATTAAAATCATCAAAATCCTATAACCATGAAAAGCGCCTGGGGGTGGGAGGAATATTTAAGCAAGAACCTACAGCCAATAAATGAGTAATGCAAGTTCAAGGGGAGCGAGCAAGTAACAGCGCAGGCTTGATTTTCAATGGTTGAGGAATTAAACTGAAAAAAAAAAAAAAAAAAAAAAAAAGTGCACATAGAGCGGAATGACGTAGCGTATGTAAGGGCGGGATCAGAAACAATCATCTCTCCCTACCACTACTACTGCTGTTTCTGTTGACATATACATTTGCGTTGTACCTCTCTCAAATCAGAGAAGAAATAGCTGGTTTTTTTTTTTTTTTCCCTCCCCGGCGATAAGGGGATAGATAGATCAAAAGTCATACAACTCGTTAACAAAACACAAAACATACCCCGATATACAATAGCCAATGTAGACACCCACGGAGAAAAAGGAGAAGAATCCGAGAAAGCCAGCTCAGTCATCAGGGTCAGCTATCAGCTCATAACCGCCTTCTGAGGGTAAGACGCGGGCGGCGAAAACGACCGTCGCGGCCGTGAAGAGCGCCAGACACCAGCTGACGGTGCACATGATGAAGGAGTCATCGAGGCGGAAGCCGAGATAGAAGTGGTCGTCGTTGTCGTTGAGGTACGACTGTGGACACGTGTGCGTGTGAATTAGATATGGCATGCAGTGAAATATCCAAAAAAAAAAAAAAAAAAAAAAAAAAAAAAAAAAAAAAAAAACCAAAACAAGGGTAATTTGGGGAAAGGAGAGAAGATTTGAAAATAAGACAGCATAAAATACGAAATAAACCCACCACCAGCGCCATACTAGCACACTGAACCAGGGCGACCAGTACAAGAAACAGCGAGAGGACACGCCATCCAGACTCGCGCATCTGCTTGCCCCCGGTCAGGATGACAATATACGTCATCAACGTCATACCCTCGAGCACGACGGCGAACGACATGAGGAACCCGATGGTGCGCCACATGGAGCAGAACTGGCGGTCGTCACCGGTGCAGTCGTCGAACTGAGGGAAGCGCACGCAGGTTGTCGTCGCGATGGGTGCGGTTTTGGAGAAGCAACGGTAGTGGAGGCCGTAGGAGACACCGGCGGACTACGGGGGGCCAGAAGTAAATATCCTTTTTCTTGTGAAGGGTGTGGAGGAGCCAGTCGTACCGTTCCTTTCAGAGAACTGATCCATCGTGGCAGGATTATTGACGCCAGCGTCAGGGCAAATGCTACAACAGCATGTCAGTGAGTGTCAATCAAAAAAACAGCAGGAGAGCAAGTGAAGAAAACCAAGACATACCTGCCAAAAACAAAAACATCGTAGCCGCGTATACAATCGTTTTTGTCACGAAACCTGTATAGTTCCTCCGTCCGCCGACGGGCACCAGGTGTACGTCCATCATTCTAACAACAGCAACAGCAGACAGCACAGCAGAGAGTTAAATAACGATGTACCAAAGTGTCCTCTCTCCGCGTAATCGCCGCGGAGTTCGACAGGTATCAACTGAAGAAGTTGACTATTTAGATCGATGGCCGCGCGCCAACTGGTCGGTCAAACCCTTGGTGAAGGGAGGAGTAGCAGGAGTCGCATTCGAGAGGATAGGCAAGGAGGAACGGGACGAGGGAGATACGATGCGACAAGCTAGGCTCCCGTCCGCAATAGCTAGGTAGGGAGAGCGTGTACTCGAAGCGGTGAGCAAGGGCTTTGATATTCAGATGGATAAGAGGGGTCTTGTTGGTGAGGGGCTTAAGTTGGATAGATAGCACCAGAGGGTTGGCCAGAAGGTCAGCAATGTAACTAAATAAGTAAGGCGTTGTATTTATTTAGTGGGAGTAAGGAGAGAGAAATGGTCCAAAGATTCCAGTTCAGCGGCGACCAGGTGTTAGATGGACATTCGGTTGCGGTTGTAAATTCCACGTCCCAACTGGGTAGAAACTTTGATCCTTACTGCCCTCAGAGATGTCGTGATATTTAAATAAATACACAAGACTGACACACCTCAATGCCAGACATGCAATTCGGAACAGTCTGACAGCGCAGTGGACAAGATAACTCTTCACACAAGGCATGAAGAGCGTTTCATTCAGTCAATGCTGCACAAAAGCTGGCTGCGGTTCTATTTATGAGAGCCACCAAGGGGGAATGGCTGCACCCGCACAAGTGGGTACGATTTCAACCATATATCTATCCCCTTATCGTCGTGTGGGAACCACCTCGACAGTCATCCTGCCATATTCCTCTAATTGAACATCCGCCTCTTGTTCAAGGAGATGTGTTATAAATAACCTTCTCATGACTGCCCTTTCTCTCTGTCTAGTGCAATGTGGTGCAATCATTCTTGAATCACTGTACATCTTCCATGCTTGTCTGCTATATGTTCAGATAATACGTTGCATGCTGACGACAATCGCCACTGCAGCTACGAATACCAAATTCTCTACAACAGGACACCGACCGTGGCAAGATAAGCATGGTTGTCTATTCTACTCTGTCCCGTAACTCTCCTGAGCTACATGTGTCTTGACCATATATTTTATGCAGGGAGCAGATGGTGCCTCCATCTTGCCTAGCTTGTAGAATGACCCATTCTGCTTCCATCTGTCGCAGGTTGAGGCCACACCTGTCCACCAGATGCGAGATGAAAATGGAGCTAGGCAGACCTCAAGCGCGTTTGGAGGCATGGTACATACATACATACATGGAAGTGAGAAAATAATGCTGAAGAATTCGACTGAGTTTTCTCTGGAACCAACCTGCTATCTACTAGGAGATAGACATACAAAATATGTTCTCCTCTACAGGTGTGTCTGAAGCATTTTTTATGTCCTGGCGTTGGTTGGCGGGCGCTGGAGATGAATTGCCTCGAAGACCCCAGCTAGCACCGAGCAGCTCCTGCTGGCCATTACTTTTGGACTGATTCAAGCTTGCATCCATGACAAACTACAGGGGTTCCTTTTGCTACACGCTCTCACCCCCATACTATACTACAGCAGGCCTCGAGGTGCAATGCTGTTGCGCTAGAGGTAGAGTTGGAGGGTAAGAATAGAGTGGGGATTGTGTACTGACAGGATTTTGAGATCGATTCTGGAGATTATTTGGTCGGGGTTGAAACATCTCAGACCACAGAAGGCTGCTGCTCCGCGGGCTTATGTTTATTTATTCTGAGGGGCCATCTTCTGGTTGGATGTGAGATGCTGGGGTGACGTCTATGGGCGCGAGGGGCCCGAAAGATGTGGGTTGAACATGAGACATGCTCTATATTCATAGGCAAGTCTATGAGACCTCTTTTGCAGTTCTGGAATGTATTTTGCTGTTGCCATGGGGAGGGTGTGAGTGTGACCTATCCAAACCTGGGCTGAAAGCGGACATAGTTTGGGTCTTGAATGAAGTTTTGGACTTTGGGATATTATCCATCAATAGCCCAGTGCGCTGAGCTGCATTTGCCAATTGGGTGAATGAGATAAGATCGCTTCTGAGAGGAGATCGAAGGTCGATCTCTATGTATGTACGGAGTACAGCACAAGTTAATGGATATGAAAATAAATCACTCCGGAAAAGGGGAAGAAAAGAGAATGTAACTGACTGGTCTCAACGTAAAGGTCTCTTCATTCGCTTTCTTCCATTCATCCATGCCTACCATACCACTTTACATTGCCATTCACATCTCAGCACCAAGACACAATTTGCCCAAAATTTCGTCTGCCATTCGTTAGGATGGTGTTTTGATAGGCCCTGCCTCGAATTATCAGAGTTGACCCAGCCAGCCTCCACCACTTGCATCAAGCCATACGATACCGGTGAAGACATTCAATGGTTCCCTGAACCGATCCAAGGGCTGTGGTATGTCCTTAACGTCTTTCTACTAGCCCGTCGTCAACCTTGTTTCCCTCAACGGGGCCGATATCCAGCATGAAGCACATGTGCATATACCTACAACCTACACCCAAAGTAGCCAGTAACTAGGACGGCATAGGCATAGCCATAATTCATCATCATTTGGCAGTACTACGCCGCAGAGCGCAGAGATGAACTCGAATGGAGCCCAATCTGCCCTGGGCATTGATGACCGTTGTCATTCGCTGCCACCAACAAACACCTGAAGCATAACCTTCACACCCAGCTCACACGTTGGAAGGAGACCAATCTTCCCTTCAAAGTGCGCGCGGGCATGCTCGTGTGTCTGGCGATGACGCGGTCCAAACATGCTTTTTAACATCCTTAGCATGGTTTTTTCAACTCCCAGCGAGGAAAGCCAGGCCAGAAGAAACGCTCCATCCGAAATGCTGTGAACAGCTGGAGGTTCTGACGAATATGCAAGCTGTAAACCAGATGGCAAAACCTACGCTGCACTACACTGCACCAGCCCGAATACCCCGATAATAAAGCGGGAAGGTGCAGTGGCTTTCCCATCAAAAATAATCTCCCCGCCCAAAGTGGCTTTCGAAGCCATGTACAGTACAATGGACAATGTACAGGATAGAGTGTACTGGACATCTGTACATGTACAGATCTGTATATGGAATCTAGCCTGCTAGCCTGGATGCTGGCTGGCAGTTGACAATCTCCAACGATAGGTATGAAGCTTGGAGGGGAAACGAAGCAAGTTTTTCTCTTCTTTCTGAGACATCTTCGCTGACATTTCGCCGATCGTCCACACACTAACATGCTGGGCTACAGAGGATAGGACGTGAAAGCGATGGAAATCAGGTGGTTCCCCCCCCCCGGGCGGCGGGATAAGGTTTGACTCTTTTGCACACGGAGAAGAGGACTAGTTTATGCGTGTTGATAGAGGCAACATCCAGGGTGAAACTTTCATTTATGCAAAGGGTTCAATCCCGAGCAACGCCGTCAGCTACGCAGTAGCAGTTACATCGTTGGGCCCGCCTCTTTGGAACCTCAGTTAGTCAACTCATCCGTGCAGATACAGCGTATGCTTGAGGGCCTTAGATCATGGGCCCTGCATTGTTGGGAACCACGCTGAAGAAAATGTTCTTCTCTTCGAAGGAAAAAAAAAGAAAAGAAAAATTTAGAACCAGTCCATTCATTTTGCGCTGTGTTAGCCGAGCCACCGCATCCATGGCAGGCTGCCTGATCAAGAAATAACTTACATATATAAAGTAGTTACTCCGTATATACCAAGTTAAGAGGGGAAAACACTCGCCAATAAAAGACCATTTCACCCGCTCTCTGCTCCTCCTCTATTAACTATGACTAGTTAGTTGGTTTAACTAACTCAAGGCTAGTTACCCCAAGTCAGACGGAATCCCGTGGGTACATTTAAGGTTAATAACCGATTATTGACGGGAAATCAACCAGTCGACTCCGGATATGACTGTATCTGTACAGGTACAAGTCCAATATCCAGGTGCATGGGGATGGGCACGTAGCCATTGGTCTATCACTGCTCTGGTTATTGTTATCATGTGCGTGGAACGGCTACTGCATCGTCAGCGCAGGACGAGTACGTAACGAGCCCCCGGCTGAACAGCTGGAACTTGGAAGCGGGAATCTGGAGCGGCGGGCTATTGTCCAGATGCTGGATGCTGGATGATCGTAACTATATACTGTGTGTTGGATGTTCTGGAAGTCGAGAGGGGCCAAGCCATATACGTATCGATACTATCATTGACAGCAACCTATATCATACATACCACGAGGAGGACCGGGGAACACATGCAGGTTGACGAGGTTCTTGTGCTGACAAGGGTCCAAAAAGGGTTTTGAGCTAAATATAAGGCGGTGGCTTCTGCTTCCTTTTTCCATCACGTTTTAAATAAAGAATAGCCGAGGAGAAGGCGAGGGAGGAGGCGTGAGAAGCAAATAAATGATAAATGACCATAACCATACATATATGGGCCTGGCTGGAACTTGTGTTTGTTCTGCTGCATGCAGCCTGGATGCGATTGTCCTGTGGCCGATGGAAAGATGAGGAATACTACAGAGTAGAGAAGACAAGACAGAAGAAGAAGATGGGCATTTCCCTTTTTTATTCTTGGTTTTGTTTTCTTTTTCTTTAACTATCTTCTTTTTCCCCTTGAAGTACAGTGCCTCGCAAGAAGTTTGAAACTATTGAGACTTCTAATCAATATCCCCTAGTCCAAAAGTAGTTTAACTCATAGTAGTTCGTAGTAGTTATAGTGTCACATGATATTTGAATGCACCCATTTATCCCTATTTTCATCCCTATACCTTCTCTATTTTTTCTATTTTCTTTCTCATGTGTTTTCTTCAAAATAATGATTCTTCATATCCTCTGCATACTATTTCCTCATACTACCGTCATTTTATTAGTTATATTCCACCACCACTATCATCCACTATGAGCTGAGGCAGAGAATTAAGCTCTCAGATGTGTTCTCACATATGTGAACTTCAAAATCAAGAATATAACTATCCACACATTCATCAAATCCACTCTGAAATTCCACTGAGCACTTTCAAGATCACTGTATGCAGAGTCATTGAATGTGTTAATGAGGTGTTCAAATCTTGATCTGAAGCTTTTAGAAAACTGTATAAATCTGAGTGAGATCATCTCTATGATATAATTGTTCACATCAATTCCCATATCTCAATTAAAAATCTCTGTATTGAAATGAATGGCAAGGTTAAAACAAGATCTATAGAGCTTTTTATGAATGAGATGAGAAAAAGAAAATGGCTTCAACATACTCACTCTGCATTTAAGAAGACACATATAGCTCAATGTCTTTGCTGAGCAAACATTTATAAAAACTACATATTTACAAATTAATAAGGAGTTAAGTGATCTGATGAGTGTACAATTGAAAGAAAAAAAGAAATTGCTGTTAAATGAACCCTTTTACAACTCTCAGAACAACTGATTTAAAGAGATATTAAAGAAATAAAATGTGAGAAAGCATTTAAAAAAATGTTCTGAACAGCTTTTAATCAGAATTCTCATACAAAATTGATGTCACTGAATAGAGATTCTGAATCTGTCAATCAAGAAATATTAATTAAAGTATGATTCTTTATATTAATTTCATTATTTTTGATATATACTGATACTTCTTCTATCACAATTCATAGATAATCTGTGAACTCTATCAAACATATCTACTCACTATATTATAAAGAAGAAGATATATTCATGCATGATAATGCATCTGTGTATATAACTAGAATTGTACAGATCATTCTGCAAGAGATGAAGATTTAAATCATGTCTTAACCATCATATTCATCTGATTCAAATTCCATTGAAAATGTATGATCAATCATGAAGAGAGAGATATACAAGATTCAGTTAAAGTTGAAGTTTGCAAATGACACAGTAGTAACATTAAATTTATTTATAAAAACTGTAAAAGAGGCATGGAATTCAATAGATGAATCTTTCTATTACAATGTCAAATTGTGTGACTGCAGTCATTGAAGTAAAGAGATGGTAGACAATATATTGAGTGGAATTCAATCTCCACAGCATGTAATTAATTAATTAGAGCTAGTTACAGCAATAAACAGTGCAAACACTAAACTACTTTTGAATTAGTGGATATTGATTAGAAGTTTCAATACGGAGTACTCCGTAGTTTCAAACTTCTTGCGAGGCACTGTAACTAAAATAAATGAATACCCACAACTTTCCACGGTTGTGGGATATAAACAAACCCAAGTCCCCACCGCAACCACGTTTCTCTTTGTTTCAACGTCCTTGATGGTTTGAGAGGACAGGCTCTAGCCCTTGATAGATGCCCCGTATCCACTGCGACGGAATTAAGAATAATAATTAATTCTTCATCCGTCGGTTGTAACTGCAAGTCACATTGTATGTACTGTACAGTACATCCTCCTCCTCCACCCAACTTTGCGTGGGGGAACCATCCCTACTGCGTAGATCAGAGCGATGAATTCCGCTTTCTTTCTAGAATCCACCCTGCATTCCACTGTGGATATAAGATTCCTCTGTAATGGACCGAAGAAAGCAGATAGATACCGCGTAGAAGCGTCCGCCAGACTCCCATAGCAGAACATTCCCCGGGCCTGGCCAGTCGGGGCCCACCGAGCCAGCAGAGGTTCCTGTGCATATATTTTCCGTAGTGGAGGTACATGTATATACAGTACATTCATTACACAGTTAAGTTGCATTGATTCACCCCCAAAAGCGGCCCTGGGTTATGTAAGACTTCGATCATTCCCGTCTCGACGACGACATCGCCTGCATCAAACATCAACACAACCTAAGCTGCACCAACCTGCACCAACCAGCACCAGTCTGCTACCTCTCCAACTTCGCCCACCTCGAATCCCCCTCCGCTCCGCGTCTCCTCGAGTGTGTCCCGCTGTGGCCGGTCAGATCATACATCGCCGCTGCCGCCGTTCCTCGCCTGCCCGCTCCTCAGGGTGACCCAGGCTACCCAGGCTACCCAGGCTATCCAGGCTAGTGGTGAGTAGCATATAGTTATCCCTCCCGGCGAACTAGTTATCCCTCCCGGCGAACTGACCACCAAACCGGCTCCGGTATTACAGCCCCGATCCCTTTCATCGTCCTGCCCCTTGCATCGTTGCTTCAGTTTCTCTCTGGAAGCGGCTTGCTTGCTTGCTTACTTGCATTCTCGCTCCTAGGTTGGTTTCTGAGGTTACTTGGCCTTTTTTTCTTCTTTCTTTTTTTCAACGCTTGAGGGTGAACAAGAAACAGCAAACCAGAGTTCTTCTTTTTTATTCACCCTTGTGATTTTTTCGTTCTCTGCTCCCTTATTTGTTTTTCTTCTCTTGAACTAGGTCGCAGAAGGGGCGACTTGGACAAAGGTGTGCTGTGCTGTGCTGTGTTTGAAGGAAGAGAAGAATTTAGAGGACGCCGAAGGAATGGAATTATACAGCAGCCCCGATCTCTCTCGTTGCTGTGCTTGACTCGATTCGATCCCATCCAACCACCTCCCCTCCGCTGCCGCCGCCGCCCCCCCATCATCACCATTCCATCGAACCCAACTCAGACCTCTTCTTCCTTTGCCTTTTACGCCCATCCCCCCTGGGCATCCAGATTCTGGTTTTCACTCTGGTAGCTTGTGTTTTCCTTATAGCTACTAATGTTGAGACGCTGGACTTCTCGCCATTTCTTCAGTTCGAGGTCTGATGGTTCTGATGGTGGTGATATATCGAAGCTATTCAAAACTAGCTGGTACTCCTGCGACGACTCAATTGCCTCTCAGTTTACCCTTCTTCCCGATTTAGTCCCGTTGATTTTATTCTTTTTTTCCTTTTCCATTTTGCTCTCTCTCTCTCTTTTTTTTTTTTTTTTTTTTTTTTTTTTTTTTTTTTCTTCCCCCACTTTGGGGCTGTTTCTTTCCACCATTTCTCACTATAATAATACTACTACCCCTTGTCGATGGATAGGAGGATGGATATTATTTCACTCTTATCGCCGCAGGACTCCCCTTCGGGCAAGTCGACTCCCGCTGCTGCTTCTACTCGTGCCGCTGCCACCGCTTCCTCTGGCTCAGCCCCCACATTCGCCCCGACGCCTTCTCCTGTCTCCGCCGCTTCCGCCTCCGCTTCCCCTCACCACAATCACCACAAATCACGCCAGAATTCTGGCAGGGCTGGCATGACCTCGTCGCCGCTTGTTCATCAAATCCTCAACCACACACAACTTCGCGATCCGTCTCCCCAGGATCTCACCCAAGGCAACGGTACACGCACCCCTCCATCCAGCGAGCTGCAGCCCGCCAGAAAATCCTCTACTCCGGGAATAGACGCCTTGGCAGATCTCGCCTCCATGCAACGTCCCCAGCCTCACCGCGCAAATCCCCCGATCAGGAGGAATGCCAGCACTGAAATACACGAGAGTCAGATGTCCCCGTCCACCCTCAACCCTACCGTCAACCCCATTCCGCGAAACCACTCCACCCCTCGACCCCATTTCGATGTATCTGAGGGTCTGAAGGAGGCCAACAGACGGGACTTTTCAAACTCCTCGTTGACTCCCAACATGCAACAGATGGCCTCAGAGCTATATGCCCATATCCAGCAGAACCGCCATGCCTACGAGTCGCGCGTTAAATTCATTCGTCTGCTCCACCAAGGGTTTGTCGAACATGTCTATCCGCCTTCGTCACCAGATTCCCGCGGGGACCCTCACACATACGATGTTTTGCCGGAGCTGCGTGCTGCGCGAGAGGAACTCGACCATCTTTTCGCTATCGGGGAAGATCTGTGGGCTGAGTGGATACAGGACGAAAGTGTGCTGGCGCGTTCGGTTGATGAACAAGTAGGTGTGATGGAACTGTGTCGCCGATCAGTTGATGAAGAGTATGGCAGCACGAAGCTATGGATCATATACGGCGAGTGGATGCTATATCTCTACAACTCCGCTTCTCAGCCTGGGGACACCCCGGTATCTCGCCAGTGGTCTGAAGAGGATAGAATCGTGGCCCAGAAGACCTTTACGTGGCAGTCAGTCGTAGATGTTTGGATGAATGCGGCGGAAGCTACAAACTGGAGAATAAATGATAGCCATCTCGTCTGGGATCGCTATTTGGAAATTGTGGTACAGGATGTGGGCAAGCAACCGTCCCCCGACAAACTTGCCCATGCAAGGGACTTGTTTGTCAACAGACTTCAGGTACCCCATATGACCTGGGACCAGACCTTCCAATTATTCTCTAACTTTGTCTCTACTTATTATAACAACCATTACGAAGAGACCATGGTCGACATGACGAATAGGGCAGCGCACGCCAAAGCCTTGTGGAATGCTCGGGAGGTACGAGAAGTGGAGCTTCGGCGATCTGCTGAGGCTGGAGATAGCGGTACGGAGTGGAGCTTGTTCGTTGCATATATCGAGTGGGAACTGAACCAGAACCGGCGAAAAAACCAATATAGCTTTGACCTAATATGCGCGCTCTATCAGCGTGTCGTCCTGCGCTTCCCCACAGACGTTGGGTTTTGGGAAGATTATATCATGTTCATTGTAGAGGCGTCCATGAACGGAGGTCCACATAGCCACTACATTCCTGCCCTTCCTTCCCTGGAGCGCGCCACTCGACATTGTCCATGGTCCGGAACTCTCTGGTCACAGCGTATCCTCAGCGCCGAACGCGCGGGGCTCTCGTTTACTCAGATCGCTGACATCAAGCACAAAGCGACGCGGACTGGCCTGTTGGACACTGGAGGTATTAACGAGGTGATCAAGGTCCACACCACATGGTGCAGCTACTTGCGTCGACGAGCCTTCCAACCCGACTCGACAGACGAAGATCTAGATGTTGCCGAAGTAGGAATCCGCTCTGCGATAGAAAGCATCCAGGAACTAGGCGAGAAGGACAACAAAGCGGTCCCCAACGACCCACTCTTCCGTCTCGAGCGAATTTACATCCGGTACCTAAGCGAAAGCGGAAGCTGGGACAGCGCCCGTGAAACCTTCAAGGGGCTAGTTGCAAGGCACGGGCACAGCTACGAGTTCTGGATGATGTACTACACATGGGAACTTCTCTGCTGGAGCAAATTCACGCAGTCGGATGATAGCGCCAGCGCATCGCGGAGAACACCGAATCCCAGCCTCGCTACCGCAGTGCTGAAACAAGCTCTCCAACGAACGGATCTGGACTGGCCTGAAAAGATCATGTCGACGTACATTGATCACTGCGAGCATTACGAAGATGCAGACGAGCTCCAGATAGCTGTTGTTGGGTTTAGGAAGGCAATGAAAGCATTGACGAAAAGGCGAGAGGAGGAGGCGCTGCAGGCTGCGGCTCATCAATCAGCGGCAGCAGCAGCAATAACAAGCACTGGCCCTTCAGCTGATGTGCCAGCAATGTCAGCGATGGGGACCGGACTCGAAGTCGAGAATGAGACGACACCACAGGGAAGTAAACGGAAGCGTAGAGTCGAGGAAGTGGATGTGAATGGGTCAGCGAGCAAAAAGGCTAAAGCGGATGATGACGGCACTCCTCCCAAAAGAGATCGGGAGAATGCCACTGTTATTGTGGAGAATTTACCGTCGGGAGTTACAGAGACCAGAGTCAGGCAGTTCTTTAGAGATGTAAGTTTGCGAATTCCCTTTGTATGATAATATTGCCTCTTGGACGTGGCAAGAAGAATAACATCTAACTAAGCGTCTAAACTAGTGCGGAAAAATAAATTCTTTGAAACTACTTTCGCGAAACGGCAATCAGCCTAGGGCGATTGTCGAGTTCGACACACGAGAGGATGCCCTGGCCGCTCAGACGCGAGATCAACGGACATTCGAAGACCAAACGATCTCCGTCCATGTCGGAACAAATACCACGCTGTTCGTCACCAATTTCGCGCCTACAGCTGATGAAGCGTATGTTCGCGATCTTTTCAGTCCGGTAAACGATTCATCTTTACCTAGCTAGGCTTTAGCTTTGATTTGTTGTTTTACTACCCCCCAGCGTTAGTTTCATAGGAAAACTAACTTCGCACAATTCCTTGCTTATTTTTAGTACGGCGAAGTCGTCGATATCCGATTCCCATCCCTTAAATACAACACGCACAGACGCTTTTGCTACGTCCAATTCCAAACGGCCATTGCTGCTCATGCAGCGACAGAGTTAAACGGAACCCAACAAGAAGTCGTTGGGGATTTAGCAGGCTCAGCGGGCTCCATGAAACTTCCTCTCGTCGTCAAGATATCGGACCCTACGAAGCGGCAGGAGAGGACGGGGCCGACGGAAGAGGGTCGCGAAATCCACGTTTCGAATCTGGACTGGAAAGCGACGGAGGATGACTTGGTGGAATTATTCGCGGCATATGGACAGGTTGAAGCGGCGCGGATTCCGAGGAAGGCTAATGGGGCGAGTAAGGGTTTTGGGTTTGTTGTTTTTCAGGCGAAGGTAATTATATACTTCTCCATCCAACCCCCTTATTGAAAATTATGTAAAGTCATATTCGGCCGATTTTGATATCTTTGCTAGGAATCCGCTGAAGCCTCCCTCGCTATGAATGAGCAACTGTTCCGCTCCCGCCCACTGCACGTCCACATTTCCACCCCTACTGCCGCCAAACGCCAAGCAGCTACAATACTATCCCGTGTCGGCGCCGGAGGCCGCTCCAAGTCTCCCTCTATGGAACCCAACGGCGCATCGCCTTCCTCCTCAGCACCGCATGCATCCGATCAACCTGACAGTAATCCCAGCGACAAACACCTCCGTACCCTCGCCCTGATGAATATCCCAGATACTGTCAATGACACGCGCATCAGCGCCATCGTCTCCCCGTACGGCGCGCTTGTGAAACTAATCCTCCGCCCAGACCACCAAGGCGCTATTGTGGAGTTTCTTGACGTGAACGACGCAGGCCGCGCATCACTAGGCTTGGACGGGTATGAAATCGCTCCCGGCCGACGTATACGCGTAGGGAGCGTGGGAGAGATGTTGAGGATGCCGGCGGAGAGGAGGGTAGATAGGATTCTTGTGGGCAAAGAGCGGGAGCAGGAGAAGAGAATGAAGGAAATGGAAATGGAAAGTGACGCTCTTTCTGTTTCTGCTCCTGGGGCAGCGGGGAAGAGCAAGATGGTTATGATGAAGCAGTCTGCTGCTCCTATTCGACGACCTGCGCAGCCTGGAGGTGGAGTGCGGTCGGGTCGGAGAGGTGGGTTGGGTGTGAAGAGGGGTGGCGCTTCTGCTGCAACTGGTGTTGGTTCAGGCCAACAGCATGCGCCCGCACAAGCATCGCCATTGACAGCAGAAATTGCGCCGGCGAAGAAAAGCAATGATGATTTTCGGGCCATGTTGGAGTCGTCCAAGTCGCGGAGCCAGGGACAGGAGGGAGGGCAGGCGCAAGGGCAAGATGGACGGGAACCACAACAATAACGATAGAGGGCAGCAATGCCCATTGAAACAAAAATGAGTGTTGAAAGGAGAAAAGCGCAAAAATTCTGGCGAAGGGAAAATAAATTACAAAAATTTTTCTCCCCCTTCCCCCCTCCCAACCTGACACAGGGTCCCCGTTTCTTCTCCGATTTATTTCCTTAATTTTAATCTTTCATGTTTCTCATTTATTTCTCCCCCATTTCGCTCCCATCCCCCCCATCCCCCCCGTCCCCCAATACCGCCTCACCCAACCAATCCATGCCTTTAATGCCCAATGCCAAACACCAAACGCTAAAAGCGAAAACAAATATGCCCCGTGATTGTATGTACGTGTATATGATATGTCTCTATTTATAATTTTCTTGTCTTTCTCTTTTCCTGAGCTTGTATTTGGTGTTTTCTTTTCCCCCTTAACTAACTTTCTCTCACTCTAATCTAATTATATATTATCCCCCTTATATACTATTCACACTGATTAAATAGCACCCCTGCATCCTCTGCTCATTTATGTGTGTTTTGTACCGGCCTCTTGTGTTTCAATTCATATCATATCGCAATAATTGAAAAAAAAAAAAAGGGGGGGGGTTTCCCTCAACTTTTGTCTCTACATATATCTCGCTTCTTTTCGCTCTCATCCCTGTGATTCATGTCTGCATCGATGGTATACCTTGCATAATATTTGTCGCTTCATCGTGGTATGTAAGTTCCTCCTCTTTTTTTTTTTTTGCTACTACATGAGCCAGCTGTGTCTTGTATGTATTCGTTCGTCCATCCCTCCGCTTGACTTGCCTTGCCTTGCGTGTGCCATGTTCACTGCTTTGTGAGTTTTGGTTTTCATGGATAGGGAGAGCCCGTGTGAGCTCAGCGTGGGAATATAAATAAATTCCAATCAACAAGGAAGCACGGGAGGACAAGGGGGAAGGCGAGCCGAGTATATAGTGATATAATGATATAATAATACCAACTTCTTTGTTCATTGAAATACGTTCTTCCCCAACTCAATGCCAGGGGTTCAAGGACCACAAATCACGTGATTGGATTAGCCGGCTGTTTCGGCTCCTCCATTCCGGTCCGCATCCGGTCTAGTGTGCACTCCCAACCTTCAACTCGAATTTCAACGGCGCGAGACTTTGAAATATCATCCACCACTTTACCCGGGTCTATTGAGAGCTGCAGCTGGCGAAGATGGCCGCTGTATGTGTTTCCCTTATTCCCCAGCAGTTGGCCCCGTGCAGGTGAGCTTGGAACTCATCCAATTCCAGCTTCCATCCATTGCTTGAATTGCGCAGATTAAGTATCATTGCCCGACTAACAACCCTTCCGCAGCCAGACCACGACTTTCAGCAACCGCACATATATGTAGACGAGCATTCGCCTCAAGCCCTTTGCTACGGGATCCCGCAACCTCATCCCAGCCCTCCAAAACAAAAAACACACATCTTAAAGTTTCCCAACCCGCCGCCCCAAAAATAACCCACGGCTCCCTTGCCCCGGGTTCCATCTTCGACGAAGACGATGGAATAATGCCCAGCCCGTACTCGAGCACAGACAGCCGCAAACCCCAGCGGCTCACATCCAGGGACACAGCCGCAGACACAGATGCCACCACAAATGCCACAAGCGAAGCCGACTCCGCCTCCACCGCCAATTCCAAAGTCAAAGTACCCCTCCACGAGCGGGACCAAGACAACCTCCTCCGTGCCCTTGTGCCCTTCCCCAACCGCCGTGCCCGCTGGGAGCGAAAGATGGTGATACGCTCGATCCGGCGACGGGGCCGCCTGACACGGCGTGAGGAGATCGCTCGCACGGAGCGCGAGTCGCTCAGCAAGAGTCACTTCTTCAAAACCAGCGTCAAGAAGCTGATGATGGTTGCGCGGCAGATCGCGGGCAAGAACATCGACGACGCCATCTTGCAAATGCGGTTTAGCCCCAAGAAAGTCGCGAAAGACGTCAAGGCCCACCTGGAGCTGGCGCGGGATGAGGCCGTCGTGCTGCATGGGATGGGCCGGGGCCGCAACCGGAAAATCAACGTCTCTAATGCGGACGC